ATATATATTTAAATTTTTATATTATTTAAATAATTTTTTATTAAGTTATGAATAAATAAAGAATTCCAAAAAGTTTTGTATTTAAGCCATTAATTAATTTGTCAAATTACTTACTTTTTTTGATAAATATTATACAGGTGATATTATACTGAATAAATATTTTCCAACTAGTATAAATCATAAAAAATTATATATAATTTAAAGTAAAAAATTTCAATTATTTTACTTTATATATAGTGCAATAAATATAAGCAATTATTCTTGTATATAAAAATATTGTAAATTAAAATTATTTAACTTTGATCATTTTAAAAATTTCATTTGATTAATACATTAAATAAAAAATTCACCTTTTAAAAAATCATAGATTTTCAAGACAAGCTTCAATAGCAATCCCATCCCGTATTTCCCGTTAAACAATCTTTAACCCTATGCCCTCGCATTCTATCATGAACAGACCATCATCGTATGCTTCATCTGGTGCATCTTTTTCCACTTTAACGTACTGTCGCGGTTCAGATGATACAAGTTTAGATATTTGAAAGTTTGTTTCTGACATCTCCTCGGCAAAATGTATAGCCGTGCGAGTATGCATAGATATCGGACCTGTGACCAATTGAGATTTTCCTTCGGCGAGTGACATGAAGATAATCAGTTGATCTTGAAGATATCTAATTTGTTGAGAAGACTAATCAACGATAGGACCATGTGACGGGATAACAAAATAGTTTTGGGACGTACTCATCCACACATCCTCCATGCCTGATATTACTCAAAAGCTCTTCGGCAGCTTTCTTTCCAACTTCATCCGGTGACTGTCCTATAAATATTAAGGGTGGTTTACTTTTTTCACTCTTTTTTTCTTTCTTTCTTAGAGACTTATTAAAATGCTTGTTACTATTGCTGCCGATTGCACCGCCACTTATTATACATCCAGTGCTAGTCTCCGCCCATAATCTTAGAAGAGGAAGGATTCTTGTTAGCAAAAAAATTGGGAACAAAAAAAAAAAAAAAAAGAAAAAAAATCAAACCATCACTTACAATAAATCAAAACCTTTACTAACAGCCTTTTCGACATTCGTTTCTATATCAAGATTGATTCCATCAACTTCAGGCATTGCTGCGCTGGAAATAATTTGTTTCGCGCTCGAGATTATTTGGGCAGCGATCTTTGTAATTGATATCGATTAATGAAAACTTTAGCAACTTTAGCTATTGATGAATCGGCGGGTGAAAGTGAGCTTGTGTGCCATGTGAGTAAATATTACTTGCGCAGGGGTATTTGTGATATTTATTCGTCTACGGAAAAAAAAATTTTTTTAATTTATTCAAAATAAGAAAAAGCACGTAAACATTTCCAGAAACTTGCCCCTTGACATTGACAATGGTACCTCGATTAATCATTTTCAATGGATTTAAAGATCTTCCAATCACCGGATCAACGCGCAAGATCACTTCACCTCCTCCCTTAGGATAGTACCTAGTACCGCCGATTGAATTCTCCTAATTATGAGCGATCAATTATAACAAGATCAACCGTTAAATTAATAAAGAAAATGCAATTTACCCGCGTCCAATAACATTGATATCGAAGGTAAGTCCAAATTCTCGTTGTACAATAGGCTTAAAAATCTTGAGATCAAATTGATTCCCCGAAAATATGAGTCGTGCGTTATATGATAATTGTGATGCAGAAAAGAGATAAACACCTCTATCAGAAAATCAATGGGTGGAGCGGAGTTTACGTTGGTCCCACCCTTGAGGACCACTTTTTTCGCACGAGGGGGAGGTGTTAAGCGAGATGTGGGCGGGGGTGCAGAAAATATCAGAGGCAGGAGGGAGACTTGTATCAACAATGCAATGCTCCTGTTAAAAAGGCAAAATTAATGATACCTACATATAAAAATGCAAGGGTAAACAACACCATACCCTGCCGTTTTTGTATCTGCTACGTAATTTTTAGACTTGCCGACGCTGGTGGGGCGAAACGTGATTTCACGGGATCCAATCTATGACAAGTTTGAATGGCAATTGAATGGTAATTGGTATACATGTCAATACCATTGCGATGAAAAAAACCTTGTCTCCTTGCAAATCTGCCTGAAAAATATCGCGCACAAGTTGGATGCCGGTCAAGTGTTGTGGTTTAAGTCCTAGCGTGAATAATCACTTGAGTTCAATAAATAATGTTTGATTGATATCGATCCATCAAAAAAACTAACCCGGATTATCGCGATTTGCTCTAATGTTTCTAATTCGAATTGGCTTATCTAATAAACAGCTGTAAAAACATTGATACTACTGAATGTTCTGACCTCTGCTATATGATATGATATTTATTATTTTACCTAAGGACAATACAGTTTCGAAGCACTGCGACGATAGAATGTCTTTTATTTAAGGGAAGATACTATTATAACGTGACAACTTGCGGGCATACCTTGACCTCCGCCTTCAAAAAGGCTACCATCAAGCATAAGAACTTCGCTTTCTTGAGACATTTCAGAAATTGAAATTATGAATTAGCGGCGGTTAAATTTATTCGCTGCGGTGTTGTATCACAAATTTATAAATCTGAACAGGAAAAAAATCACATCAAATTTACTGCAATGTCGACCCAGGACACTCAGGACTTTATTCCAATAATTCAAGATGAATCAACTGCTGACGACAATATCGCTTCTCCAACACGTGGAAAAACCAATCTTTTTGTTCGCAAGATTCCACATGATGCTACCGATTTAGAATTCGAAACCTTTTTTTCTGTAATAGGGCCAATACGTTCATGTTTCCTCGTGAAGGGGGCTAGAGATTCCAATTCAAGCATTACACCTTCAGATCCCGAAGAATCTAATTCCACCCCTCGAAATGGGGAAAAGTTAGAAAAGGACATGAAAAACCGCGGCTATGGGTTTGTCAAATACGTGATAAGTCAAGACGCGGAGCGCGCATTGCAAGAGTTAAAGACGGTCAAATTCAGAGGCACTCATACTTTAGAAATAGAATTCGCTTTAAAAAAACACGAAAAACCTTCAATCGTTGAAACAAATAAGAAGAAAATGGGTCATTCGAACGCGGAAAAAAAAAGAAAATTAGGAAATAAGTATTCGAACAAGGTCGAAAACACGAGTAGAACAATCTTGATCCAAGGATTACCAAAGGATTTGACCAGAAAGAAGTTATATAAAAAAGTCCGGAAGTTCGGTGACGTCGAGGATATAATATTTCCCTGCGAAGGGCATGAAATTGGTACAGTTTTATTGGCTTGATTGATATTATGAACAGGAATTGTTGCGACTGGACTATAACAACAACTCGCATCCTTTAACTTAATATGTTGTATATATAGCCCATATAATCTTCAAGACGACCAAGGATTCCGTGAACGCATTGAATCATTTGGATGAACACGTATTTCACGGATCCAAGATGAGTGCGAAATTATTGAATACAGAGGTAAAAGACAAGGTATTTATAATTTAACGGATTATTCACATCTTACATTATATGTATCGCTTTAGTGATCTATCTCTATTCTGTTATGATAGTCCAATTCATTTGATAAAAAATCAAGAATAATCATTCGCAATGTCCCCTGGGAGGTGTGTTATTAAATATCACCTACATAATATTTGTCAACTTTAACGTATTTCAATTAATCCCCAAATTTTTCTCGTTCCAAACAGTATCGTGAGCAAGATTTGTTAAAAATTTTCTCGGCACATGGAGAAGTAGTCGAGGTAAACTTGCCGCGTAAATATAAGGGAGGTCCGTTACGAGGATTTGCATACGTACAATATAAAAACATAGAAGATGCCGAAAAAGTTTGTTTTGTTTGGCCTGTTCTCTTTACATGTGGGCATTGAACCTTTAATGAATTTTTTTATTTTACTAATAGGCAATTAACGAGTTAAATGAAACCGAGCACCATGGTCGTATTATAGCTGTTGATTGGTCATTATCGAAAGATAAATATTTAGAGGCTGTGAGAGCGTTTCAGGCAAAGTTAATTGGTGACCAAGGCAGTGAGCCAGACGCCTTGAAAGAAGAGTACATTGATGAGGAGGAAGTCGGGAGTGAGAATGGTCAAGACTTTGGTAAAGAGGAAACAAGAAGTGAAAATGATGATAACGTTGAAGAGGATGGTGTCTCGGAAGATGATGGTTCCGATGATGATGAAAATGTGGGAGAAGTCACGGAAGATGATGGTTCCGATGGTGATGAAGTCACGGAGGAGGATGATGAAGTTACGACCCAGTCAGAGAGTGACGACAACTCTGAGGATGAAGAAGTAGTCGGCACCGGGAAAAGAAACATTCATCCCCCCTCGGAGGGTACAGTCTTATTTATTCGTAATCTTGCTTTTGAAGCTACAGAAGAGGAGCTTGGTGCCATGTTAGTTCGTTTTTCTTCTAAGAGTACGCTCGTAAGTCACCAAACGATGGAGAACTAATACCATCGGCTATCTTTATAGATTTCTTCCGTTTGGACCATTGCGGTATCATGTTATAACGAGGGATGATGCAACAGGTCGTTCGCGTGGCACCGGCTTCGTCTGTTTTGTACATAAGGAACACGCCGATGCATGCTTGTCGGAAGCGAAAAAAGTACATCATCTCGCCGCCGATTCAACTGAACTATCGTCAAAAAGAGAGAACCGAAAGGAATTGATGTATAAATCAATCCTTACGGCCGATCCATCGGACTCACAGGCACTTAAATTCACATTACATGGCAGGGTTTTATCCGTAGTAAGAGCTGTCGATAAAAACGAAGCACAAAAATTGATGGAAATGAATAAGGATAAGAGGCAAAAGGAAGATAGGAGAAATATATACTTGATAAATGAGGGAGGTTGGTAAATTATTGACCGTATGTCATATGCGCGTAGGTATGCGTTCTTAATTATTTGTTAATAATATTGTTATTATCCAGTTATATCCCCAGGAACACCGGCGGCCGCATCATTGCCGACTTCAGAAATGAATAAACGTATTACTTCGTTTAACGCAAGAAAGAACTTGTTGGCAAAAAATCCAAATCTTTACATATCAAAAACTAGGTTGTCCATACGAAATATGCCACTGACAGTAGATGAATCGAAATTAAAAAGCTTGGGTAAAGAATCTGTTAAGAATTTCAAAGAGGAGGTCCGAAAGGGAGAAAGGGACGACCTAACGAAAAGTGAGAAAATGTGGGGATGGGATAAACTGGTTTGCATTAAACAGGTATGGACTTATGGGCAAATAAAGGTATCCCTTTTTAAAATTTAACCCTGATGACATTAAAATTCATTGATGGTTACTTTAGGCGAAAATAGTCCGATCCAAGGATAAAATTGATTCTTCTATACAAAAGCTTCGTTCAAAAGGATACGGATTTCTGGAGTATACGGAGCATGCACACGCGTTAGCAGCATTGAGATTTCTTAATAACAACCCCAAGATATTTGGTGAGAAGAGAAGATTAATCGTAGAATTTGCGATTGAAAATACGATAATAGTCAAAAAAAGAATGGAAAGGATACGAGGTGGCGTCAGTGGTAAAAGCAATGGTCGTGATGTCGGCAATAAAAGCATTGGTGACAGTAAAAAGCCGAGAGTTACATTGCTCAATAATAATGGAGGTTTGAAGAGAAAGGTGTGTTTCATTTATTCACTTAGTCAAGTATTCTTAACGAACCCATTTAGATAACCTTTATTAAATTCAATAGGGAGAAATAATTAATGATGCTCATTCCATGAAAAAGAAGAAAGTTAAAGCTTTTCATCGTAAATCGCCAAGTGTGAATAAACGGAACCAATAATTCTGTGCTTGGATAGATAATGACATAATGATTGGGTGTCCTACATGCATTGAAATTCAAAAACTCTGAACTATATATTATTTCCCGAAATGATGGGCAACACCATCTTTAAAGATTGACCCATTTTTTATTGCAAAACTGTGGGTCTCTTGAATGCAATGATGCTAAGTAATAAATTCATTAATGTTAAACATAGATTCGCCAATGTTAATTGTTCTAATTTACTAGTTCTTTGAGATCGTTTTCAACGATGATTCTTTTAGCTGCCATTCATACGGGAGATCTTTTTTTTTTTTCTTTTTCTTTTTTTGCTCAGATAACATAAATTAATATCAGGCAATTCGTTTTCGATAAGGAGATTGAAATTAAGCGGCGCGGGCTACATCCGTGTGGGCAACATCCGTGTGACCTTGAGACTTGACGAGAACATTTTCGAAAACCCATTCATCAAGCGCTTCCGCAGCTGCCACATCGAGATGACTGATATAAAAGGCATCTTCGCGGACGAGCGTTGGAGTGCCATCGTCATTGAGGCCTTCCGGTGTGTGGTAACTCGTGTTAATTGATGTTTGAAGGCGAGCATCGAATCGGTCTTGCATGTACTTCTCATATTGTTGTTGAGTCTCGGAATCATATTTCGGTGCCGTGACAAAGACCTCTTCTTCAACGGACCCGTCTGTTGATTGAATTTCCTCCGAATCCTCGATAAACTCATCTGTCGATGGAACTTCAACTTCTTCAGGTTTACTCAACCAGATTTGGATAGACTCGACGAGCATTTCATAAGTGTCGTGGAGAAATGCTCTAAATATGACGGCGGCATTTATGATGATAAGACTTACTAAAAGAGAGTATTTCATTTATTATGAATGAATGGGAAGAGGAGTTTAAGTTTTGTCTGAATACAATATAACCAAACAATAGCTGGATTGATTTATAGCCGAATGTTCCGGGCTTGAAAAAATGTAGATTAACGATTTCCAATGATCGTGAACACGGATTTTTTTTTTTTCGTACCTTCATATGTACCATCTAAATTCTCACGTGACGGTGATCGGTCTTTTTTTTTTCCTCTCCTCGGTTCTTCGTTGATGCTAAATATTGATCGCTTTCTTCCGTAACAGGAATGATTTTTTGTGAGTTCTCCACAGTAAAGGTTTTCATGATCTTGGTCTTTATTAATGTGATGTGGATTCGTATCATCTTGTCAGACGTGTCACTAGTATGACGCGTCAATGGTATAAAAATATCATTTTTGTCCATAATCAGTTTAATTTATAATTGCATATATGTAAGTACAATTTTCGAAACGACTTCAAACCGAGTGGGGTCACGTGATAAACAAAGATCAATGTAATTGTAACATTTTTTTTTTTTTTTTTTTTTTATGTAGAAGAGATTAAATAATTCTGGCACCATGATTATCACGTTAAAAGGATGAGTCAATCTCACATACGCCTTGAACATGTGTGTTCATCACCTCCCCACATGTTGTTTCCAGTATATCGTGACCTTGCGATCCTTTCTGTGCATATAGTACCAATGCCTTCACTACTCATCATATTCGTATGAATGTCGTGAAAATACAACATGCCAGGATTGCCATTCTACAACATATCAAATCAAGAATCTCAAATAACCAACTGTATAATTGAGGTTACGAAAGAAGGTGATTTAATGCAACTTGAGAGAAATCACTGCAATGATTTTAATGAAATTTCATAGGAGCATAGGTCGATTTCATAGTATTTTCGTGTTCAAGGTCGTGTTGATCATTTAAGGTTGAAAATACTTTTTGCTTGCCGAGTTAACCTTTAAAAACCAACTAATAAAAACTTCCCAGACGTCCGATAAATATCGCCCCGAACGTGGATGGATTGACTAGCTTGTGACACGGTTAAAATCTCATCATCACCAAAGTGTCGATCATCCCTATTTCGGACGCAATTAAAAAACGGCGATATATTCTTCATAATGTATACACAGTGAGTTAACCGATGAATAAAAGCAACCCTGGTAATAATAAAGAGGACGTTAAAGAAAAAACCGAAATGATTTTTTAATATACAATAACTTTTCTAATAAATTTTAATTTTAATATTGTACAATTTGTTTCATTTCATGTGATTGTTGCTGCTCTAAAATAAATTAATTATCACATGAGTAGTTGACAAGTCAGTTATTCTTGGGGTTGCATTCTTTTTCGAGATCCACTGGAATCTGTTTATCCAAAACCTCTAGGAATGCTTTCAATGTGCACAAGGATTTGTCGTTCGTATGATGCGCACCGTTTTTCTTACACCCGGGTAGTTCTAGAATTTTGTTGTTATATTTTACTCGGACAAAATAACCATCGTACTTTTCAGCGTCACTTTTTTTTCGATCCACCGTATCACTTATTTTTGGAATGGCATAAGTTTGCGAGCTATGAGGTCCCTGTCGTTGTTGAAATAGTTCAATAGTTATGTGGGACGCAAACGGCGGCCATCTTTTTTTCGTGGTTGAAATAGTTTAGGAAATGACGTTTTAAAAATTTAAAACACGAAAAAGAATATTCAAAGAACGGCAATTAGTACTCGAATAAGAATTACCGATCTTCGTAAGCATCGAGTGCTGCCAATAGCGGAGCGAGGGTAACATCGTGGCCACTATATATTGCTAATTTTAAGTGGTCGCTGGAGTCATCGGTTGAACTTCCAACTTTAGAAAGTATTTGATTGCGTAACTCAAAGAGAAACGGTCCGATGCCTAGCCTTCGCAATTCCGGAATCTCGTTGAACCTAGAGGATGTTTTAAAAGTTACAATAACAACATGTTATCTTCATGTTTGTCCTTTTATGAATGTCAGCACCCATACCCGCCAAAACTACGTCCGGTCGAAGCCACGTTCAAATCGTCGATAACTTCATCCGTGAACTCCTTGGGTAGCGGAACCCCATTAGCTTTGGCTTTTTGTGGGGTAAAGTATATTATATAATTTACAAAATGGACGCCATGAAAACAAGGAAAGAAAGAAAGGTTCGCCATAATAAATGATAGTGGAAATTAACCTGAGACGACAGTATCTGATTCGAACAAAAAGCAAACTCGTTACCGCATAAAGTAGAGTGATGCGAAAGAACTTATTATTTAAAACAAAAATTAATTTACCTAATAATTCATTGCACGAAGGTTTCGAGCTAAAACTGACCTCCCTGACAACGGGTTTCAGTTTTTTGGTGAGAGATTTCAATTTAGTCTCGTGTCGTAAGGTTACATTCCTTTGAAATTCGGTGAGTAAATCAAAAAAACGTTTGCATTTGTGATTTGCGTATAAGTTATCCGAATAAGGATCTCTAAGATACATCGAGAATATTTTTTATTAAGAGAATTGTGGATATGTATGTATGTAATTAATAAGTAAAGATTACAGTATGTTACCGAGTGTGAATTTTTAGTATGAAAGAATCTGTTCGATATTTGGATGGGTACAAACCGTCGATGAATAATTGCTGTAACGATTCGAATGTTCGGGTGTAATACGAGGACCGGAGGTAGATTGATTTGCCATCCGAAATTTTTGTGTCCAGAAATTTCAATCTATTTTTTTTTTTTTTTTCAAACACAAAGAGGAATTGAACGACGTTAAGTGGGAACATTCCGAGTTCGGATATACCATGAAAGAAAGAGTTTCGCACGTACTTGTCGATGTACAAGTAACGCAGATGTGCGCCAAGCTGTGACATCGATTGACGACCGATGTCTGTGAGCTGAGAGGTGCATTCCAATGAAGAAGTTAATACAACGACATGAACTAACAAAGATATCGATTTCGTAATTACCTGTTCGTCTGAGCTGATAAAATAGACGGATTGGTCTGAAAATTTGCATGATAAATATTGTATTTCGACGATGGACTTACCAATCTCCTGGTAATGAAATAACCTTCTGCATTCGTGAGGATTCAGTAAGATCAAGGAGGCGTGTGCTCAGCGGGTGAATATTCGACGAGAATTCGGGACGTAATTCATCGACATCCTGTTGAGGTAATAAAATGCTTGCTTGGGCGGCATAGCACAGATTCCACACGCCTGGTATGAATTTAGATAACCTTTTCCTTGAAGGAGTTCTCTCGCCTGTTTGATAATTGAAGATTTAATCAAGAGTTACCATTAAAGCAACTTTGATAGCAAAATTCATACGAACCATGTCTATGTATCACTTGCACTAATCTTAGAGCAAGATAATCCGGATAAAGTCTTTGTAAAATCTTGTCGTCATAAGAAGGAATTGGTGATGGCATTTTTTTCAGTTAGCAAGTTAGAGTTTTTGTAAATTGAATCAGTGATTAATTTTAATCGTTAATTTATTCCAAACAAAGATCTACTTTATTCCATTTGTGCAACATTTTCGTCACACGATGAAAGTCATTAACCTTTTCGGGGTTCGTTATATTAAACTTTCTAAATTTAGGGGTATATCGTACACGATTGCGTATAAACTTTCGAGGAACCGTAGTGTATTACATAGTCTAACATAGTTTAAATTGACCAGACGTGTCAATTTAAACTTATCCAAATATGGCTTCCTTGTATAAACTTTATTGAAACGGGTAAGCAAACAAACTTTTCCTATACGCATCGGCGTGACGATATACTTCGTACTATCTCGTGCATGAAATAATATATATATACAGTATATATATTTCACACTTTTAATCCTTAATATTTAACACCACCTTCGTTCTCTTCAAACGATTCTTTTTCCTTTATGACGACTTCTTGCTGATATTTTTTATCTCTTGAAATCGATGGAAGTCTCATTAGAATCGGTCGATCATTCGAACGATGAGTTCTTGGTGACCACATTCAAGCCAAGGTGGGTTAGGTTTCTTACGTGAGCATATAAAATGTGATTCACACGAGAATATGATTTCTTTTCTCTTTTTTTTTTTCTTTTTGATTTAGGGCTTGGGTAGTCCAAAGGATTGAAACAATTATCGAAAATATAATTGCAGAATTAGCAGTTGGAAATACTCCGGTTATTCATTCGGTGTCTAATGCTAATAGGAGAAAAGGGTGTCATTCTGGGTAGCTAACAGAGTTAAACCTCGTCGATCATACGAATTGATCGGTAATTCACCGTAATTCTCTTTTGCTTTTCGACAATGACACATCGTTCCATAAGATATGACGCACGTAACGGCGCCATTCGCCGAAAAAACAAGAATCTCGGTGTCAAACAAGTATCAATCTTGAGCTCGAAAGGTCCACGTGGATTTGTTGTGTTCATAAGAGTTCTCGATATTTGTCATGAGCTTCTTGTTCAAAACGTCACTGCCACTAAACGGTACATATATTCCCGAGAGATCAATTTACTATCTATACATATATATTTTATAATCAGACAAGGGGACAACATGAATCACACATGCGTCTCCTTTTCAATACGTTTGTATGTAGTGACGTATTTTACAAAGACGTAAAATTATTCGGGAGTCAGCACACCGTAGATACCGTAATCAAGAACCGTAATTTTATTCGTTCCCATTTCGACCTTCACACACCGATCTTTCTTTTTTTCTATTAAAGGCGCTAGACGAATTGGCTTGTCTGTTTCGCGTTCCAAGAGCTTGTTTGAACGTGGTACGTTCCTTACACTTGTAGCACAAGAAACAAACGAACAATACAAACTAATTTGATCTATGAGAAAGACCGCATCAGCAAAGGGATTAGTCGCCGGTGATCTGAAGATCTATCAAAAAAACAAAACATTATTAGATTGTTCGTCGGTTGGCGGCGGTCAGGTAAGACCTGGTAATGGTAAAGCGATTGTTGTGTCGCTTACTAAATTCGTGATTGCATTGACCTCTAGGGAACCCTTATACCAACCGCAGATTTAATTGAAAATATCCTTAACCCGTGAAAAAAAATTTTTTTTCCTTTTGCTTGCAAATCTATGTATATTAATTAAGCCCTTGATGCAAAAAAATTTTAATACGAATTGAGACCAATGCCAAATTTGTATTGGTGATTGAAAAAGAGGTATTGATAATGATCGCATCGCACGATACAAATTGAATAGCTAACTTATATGAAATACAAAATGTAGGCCACGTTTCAACACTTACTTTCAAGTAGAATGCTGGAATTCTTTGGGCCCTCTATTATAATTACCGTGAGTGCCAACATAAATTCAAATTTTACTTTTTAATTGCGTTCGGTGATTATTCGTTTGCTGCTTACATTGTGATTATGTTGACAGGGCAAAGGGTATCCGGTTAGTGGTCTCTTCTTCCTAATCGAAAATCAATACGGAGTACATGCACACAACTATATAATGTATTGTAGGATGTCGCCACACGTCAATTAGTCAAAGCACTCGGGGACTATCGACGAAGTAGGGTGGTAAATTTGTATGGAAAGAGGACGGAAAGTCAGATACCCATACTTGGATTCTTCGATAATGATCCCTACGGTAGTTTCCTTTCATCACTATAAGAGATCTTCATTTCTGGATGAATGTCATTTAACGTTTGAATTTTTAAAGGCGTAGAAATCCTGAGTGTTTACAAGTTTGGTTCTCAGGTACCTTCAGAGTTAATCAATCACTTGGAATCTATGCCGCATGAAACTGCAAATAAATCGTTGATATCTTTGTATTTAGGCAATGTCATTTGACAACGAAAATTTGGCATCGACCAATATTAAGTGGGTTGGGTTGCATTGTGTTGACTGGAGAAGGTAAACATTCTTGTAACCTAACAAGTTTATTAGGTGCCACTTCTGCGAATAAAAAATGACTGAAATTTTTTAAAATTAGATACAGTATTCCTAGGAGTTCATTAATTCCTCTTTCCGCAGCGGACAGGAAGAAAGCATATCAGCTGTTGCAGCGTGATTATTTTCACGAAGAATGGAGGTACTGCCAGAAATGTGATATTATTTCCTTTAGTAGAATTTATTTGCGAATTTGCATTTCCACTCACTCGAAATAATTTACAGAAATGAAATTTGTCGAACGCTGTATGTGGGCAAGAAGGCGGAAATGCAAAGTTTGTGTTGTAAGGAGAATGGTGATTTGCTGCATTACTTGCGAATGAAAATTGCGGATCCTAGTTCGTGGCTGTGATAGAAGGTGTTAATACCTGCAGTTTCATATTCTTTTAAAAGGAAGATTTCCATTATTTAAATAAATGGCGTGAGAGACGTTACCAATCGATTTTCTTTAATAAACTACGAATATCATGTGATTTTGTAAAATATTCTTTTTTTTTTTGTCATATTAAACTACTGTATTTCGCTTTTAATATGAAATTAATAGAAAAAAGTTTTTTCTTCTTTTCTACGTTGAATCGATTTACTAATGTCCAAAATGTTTGATTTTTAAATTTTATTATTATTATTATTCCTTCTTTTCTCTGCTTTCTTTTTTTTTTAACCCGCAGTTAGACTGATATGGCTTGTCTTAATCTTTTGCACTTGTAAATTGTTATATACAGTAACCTGTTATGACAAATGTTATCTTTTAAGTGCAATTTAAAAAATCATATTTAATTTTTCTTTATCTTCTAGTTATTAAAATTATTGCTTACAAGCCATTACCAAGGATATTTCAAAAATACCGACTACAATTTAAAATCTTAATTGTTTCAAACTTTCAACTATATTATATTTTGTCATCATTACTTTTCTTTTATCTTATCTTTTATTTTTATAATTATTTATTTTACCGTTTTTATTTTTTTTTTACTTTTTTCTATTTTTTGTTGTTAAGAGTTTGATCTTTTAGTTTTTAAAAAAATTTTCAATATTTATTATAATACCTAATAAATATTTAAATAATATTATTAAAATAGATATTTTTTTTTTAAAAAAATTTTTTTTAATCTACAATTATTTTATTATGATATAATCTTTATTGCAATATTATGTAACCATTTAAAATATTATATTGACTATTTACATAATAATCAAGTCATTATTGTAAATTAATAATTAAAGGATTGTACAGTATATCATTAAAACCATAAAAAGTCCACTAAACTAATTTTTAAATTAAACAAAATAAAATTCCAATTAAGTATTTTGAATCAAATTAAAAAAAAAAACAATATTTATTTTCATAATAAATTAACATCAATAATTCTTATTTATAGGATTATTATCAATATTTATTATTATAATTAATATTTATTTATTTATTTATTTAAATACAATAATAACCAGTTTTATTAAAAATATAGCAAATATATAATAATACAAGCAATTTGTAAGACCATATATCTAAAACTAAACAAAAAAATAATTTATAAATTATTTATTTTAAATTATTTGAAAAACTTATTTATTTTTTATATAAACTTCTTTAAAAATATTCAAAAAACTTATTTTTTTATCAACATATGAATTTATTTATTATATTTTCAAAAATAATTTTTTTTTTTAGAAAAATTATTTCCTTATTTAAAAAATTTAACTGAAAATAGAAATAATATAATTTTTTATTTTATTATTATTATTATTATATTTTTTATTTTTTTGAGAATTTACTTAATTAAAAATTTTTTTATATTTTTTTTTATCACTAATAATATTATTAAATATATTATTATAATAAATAAAAGTTAATTATATTTTAAATAAAAAAAACTCTTTCTGCTGATCCATATTTTATCAAAAAAATTTCTTTTTTTGGTAATTTTCTTGAAAACATCACATAAACTCTCCTACACAAAAACAAGTCTCAAAGAACACAACCATCCATTTCTAGGCAACAAAATCTACTTTACAACAAATAAAAAAAAAGTTTTGCTCAACTTGAAAAACAGATATCCCTAGATCACTTTTGCTTTTAAAAAGAAGAAAAAGCAAGAATAAGCTGATTCACAGTAAACTTCTTGAGACCCAATCTTAACTTCACAAAACTTTTAGCCAGGCCAGTACAGGTTAATATCTTTTTAGGCACTAAGAGAAATCTTAGAAGCAATAGATTATATCGATAAATCAGCACAACCTTAAAGCTAACTGAAACTCAAGAAGACATTCAAGTCTCTTTGGTCAAATAGCTAAAAGATCACAACAACACAACAACTCCAGATCAACTATTTCACATCACGTAAATACAAACATGTTAACTCTCCACCTGATTGATGTGTATCAAAGCAAGTCAATCAATTTACAACAAAATAAAAGGACATGACAGATTAACAAACTAGAATGTATGTGATCAATAGCATGTGTTATCTAAAGCAAAATCAATGGTTGATCATAATCAGTTACATGTTAATAAACAAATACGGACATGTAAACACATAGTAGTCACATGTTATAGACTCCCTAATATCAATATAGTAATTTATTGCCATATACACTAAATGAAAAAATAATACATAATAGTATTTATCCAATCACATGATTAAAAAGACACTTATATAACAATAATATGTGTTAAATTCTTCATATCATGTATCAACATATCAACAAAAGAACAAACAATAATCAGAATCTTAAAAAAAAGAAAAAAGGAGCTATTGAAAGTATTAAAAAAGATAGCATCTCATCAAGATTCTCAACAAGTACTCTGGGAAACAAGAATGATATAACATGAACTGAAATCAACAACAACTATTTAATCTCACATTCCTGTTGAGTCAATACAGGTTTCTTCGATACTAGATAATATTATCACCAATCTATTAAGGATAGATCCTTTGATAATATCGAAAAAACATATACTGTAACAATATATTTTCACTCTCTAGGAAAAGGAGCAAAGTAAAAAGGAAAAGTTGAAAGCACCTATGCTAGAAGAAAAGGTGTACAATATGTTGACAAGCAAGTCAGTAAGACAGGCAACAAGCTCTAACCAAGTTGAAGTTTCTATGATAGAAAGCATCTCACAATGAAAGTTCAATCAACCTCTACAGAACTCGAAGAAGCACACTCCATTAAGGAAGTCATAATGGAGAATAGAGAAGTGATAGAACAAATGAAACAAATAGAAATAGAAGTGCTAAAAGAAATAGTTCAAGAAAGCTGTATTACAGATAGCATGTCTTACAATACAAGAAACAGGATTCAGGAGACAACAGTAAATCCATTCTTTGTAAAACAACAGTGATCAATCAAGGTGGGGGTACTCCAAGCTATGTTGCCAGGAGAAAATAGAGAAGAGGAAATTACGTACCTCAAAGGAGCTCTAAAATACCTAAGTAAATGAATCTCTTCAAAACAGAATTTATCAATGGCAACTATTAAATTACATTTAATTTTGATGAAGAAGAAGATGCAGCAAAATGTCTGAAGGCTGTTAACAGAAAAGAAGCTGAGAACTTCACACTTAGAAAAATGGACAAAAAGATAAGCACACGACTGGACTTTCAAAGATATGCTCAGAACAAAAAGTTCTTCAAACCAGAAAACTTTCCATTAGCTAAAAATAGATCAAAATATATCACATTGGTAGATACAGATCACAAGCTTGATAAACATGTGATCAGGCAAACAACGGAAGAGTTTGGAAAAATTATCAATATTCATGAATATAAAACATCTTTTTATCAAAAATGGTTCAAAGTTCATCTTTATATATACCAAGAGTACATCAACTTAGACAAGGAATAGGTGATTAAGATAAAATCCAATCAAGTACGATTTGTGATAGCCCACAAGGAACAAGATGATCAAGAAATTACTCAGATTCTGAAAGAGAGAAAGAGATACTCCTTAAGACTATATGGAGTTAATGGATTATCTACAAAATCCATAGAAGAAGCCTTAAATCATATAAAGGCTAAGGCCTTCTATATACCAAAAAACAAGATCACCTTGGTATCAGAAAAACTATGCAGTAGTGTACTTTGAGAATGAAAAAGATCTAAGAAAGACACTCCAGCTCCAAATAAAGATTGGCAATCAAGGGCTAGAATGGAATACAAAAAATTATTATTATTACAAGGCATTAACTGACCCAGTTAGGTCAAGCAATGTACATATAATAATTAAAGAAACAAAAGAACAAGATCCTATAAGCCAATATAGAGCAAGTGGAAATAGAAAAAGTAATGAAGATATTATGAAAACCAAAAAAGAAGCTATATTAACAGTAAGACTCAAAAGAAATAATAGTTAATCAGAAAACAGGAGAAGCACAATACGGTCTATATCACCAATAACTGGTAGTAATAGGGAGCCACTAGAGAGGTGAAGACATCAGGAAGCAAACCAAGTCCCACATCAGGCTTCACAATATTCTTCAAAAATAGATGATGAAGCTTTGGATACTAGGTGATATCAAAGGCAAACAACAAGATAGGAAACAAGAAACCTAAGATCAACTGTAAAGCAAGAGTCAAAGGTAGTTCAGTTGAGCAAAATATTAGAGAAACTTAATAAACAACTAGACAAACTAGAGAAAGGTCCACTTAAAAGGAGGATCAACTGCTCCTAAAAAGGATACACCAGTTCAATCACAGAAAGAGAGAGAATATTAGTCCACTATTCTCAAGTCAAAAAAATAAAACAAGGGCAAAGTACGACAAATAGAGAAGAACAATAGTAGGGGGCAGCAGAGTGATCAAGATCTTGACACTTTCCTGCAAATAGAAAAAGATA